ACGAGGCCTCGGAACTACGTCCTGTCTGCCAGCGCCTCAGCGGTGAGCCTCCCAACATCCAGATGTTCTCAGGTTCAGAACCAGAACCAGAACCAGAACCACATCCAGACATGGTTCTAAAGAGGCTCAAGTCCAAAAACCAGGACCTGGATCTCAGTTCAAGAACAGAGACTTTTTCTGTCAAACTTTGAATCTGATGTTTGTAGAAGAACCACCTGGACTCAGAGGGTCTGTTCTGGATCTGTTCTGGATCAGTTCTCAGAGGAACTGTTCTGGATCAGTTCTCAGAGGATCTGTTCTGGATCAGTTTTAGGATCCTGTGACTGGACCAGAGGAAAACCTGGACATGAGTCTTGCGTTGAGGTTTGTTTTGTTGTCTCTGATTCAGCTGCAGAGGGACTGGGAGACCTGGGACCAGGATCCAGATCCCAGTGTGTCTGCAGAGAAGAAGATCTGACCCCCATCAGAACCAGAACTGTTCTTGTGCCGTGGTTCTTGTAGAACAGGTCTTCAGTAGTTTTTAGTTGTTTTCAGAGCTTCAGTCTAGTTCTGAAGACCTGTTGGTCCGGACCACTTTAGGGACCAGAAAGACCAGGACTCTYAACACTTGGGGGCGCTGTTCTTCAGGCTGACAGGTCTTTGGACCAAACTGAAGCYAGTCCCTCTGAACGTCTCTGTCTCAGCAGAAGACACCGAGGACTGTCCCTCAGGACATCAAACAAACCTGACTTCAGTTTTCAGGACCCCTGAGAGAATCCCATCAGTCCCACAGCAGAGACCATTAGTTATGGGCTAGGGTGGGTCCCAGTGCACCCCCCATTACTGGACTTCTSTGGTATTTTCATGTCCCCTGGGTCCACTCTTTAGATAAAACACAATGATGTCATTGGGGGTCTAAAACCCCAACAGAAGCATGGGGGTGACCTTTAGCCTGGATGTTAGTGACATCATCAGGTCTAACCTGAGGTTCTGCCAAAGGTTCTGAAAGCAGCAGGTGGTTCTGAGCTGTYGATCCAAACAGGACTGGGTTTAAAACTAAAACGACAACGAGCATCCCTGGAGTCCAAGACCCCCTCTGTGGGGGTCCGACTTACTGCCGGCAGGGAGAACAAGACTCTCCCATGGCTTGTATAAGACTGACTGACCCGGAACAACAGACCCACAGTCCCAAACCTCACACTAATAACCATGTCCTCACCTGTCCTCACCTGTCCTCACCTGTCCTCACCTGTCCTAAACAAGCCCCGCCCCCAGGCCTACCTGCAGCTGTAAACAAGTAAAGAACAATAAAGAACAAACTGAGCATCAAACATCTGAGACGTGTTGTTAGTCTGACAGAAACATCTGTTCACCTCTGATTCTTGTCTCTGTCTCTGTCCCAGCTGCTGACTGAGGAAGTGGACAAAGTGAGTATCTTACCTGCAGCATCCTGTGAACCTGTGTACCTGTGAGGACCTGTTTGGACCTGTGAGGACATGTTTGGACCTGTTTGGACCTGTGAGGACATGTTTGGACCTGTGAGGACATGTTTGGACCTGTGAGGACATGTTTGGACCTGTGAGGACATGTTTGGACCTGTGTGGACATGTTTGGACCTGTGAGGACATGTTTGGACCTGTATGGACATGTTTGGACCTGTGAGGACATGTTTGGACCTGTGAGGACATGTTTGGACCTGTGAGGACATGTTTGGACCTGTATGGACATGTTTGGACCTGTGAGGACCTGTGTGGACATGTTTGGACCTGTG